AGAAATAATTCTGGTGTTTTGTTTTGTTTTTTGTCCCCGACTCTCATGCATCAAGTGTGAGCATGAACTCTGATGGCGTGGGTGTCACATGTAATGTCTGCCAGAGAACATTCAGTACTGAAGAGGCAATAAATAATAAAGTAGACTATAAAAATTGTCCAGGGTTATCAATATCTATATCAATATCTAACTTGTATTTTAACAAGAGTAAAAACTACCACCTTGAGCCAGGGGTTTCTTTTGTTCCCTGTGCCACATGTAATGGGTTCTTCATTGGCAGTTCAGACCACTCCTGGTACCAACTATCACAGGTTGAGTCCTCTAAAGGGAGATGCTGATATGGTTTGGTTTGTAAGATGTTTATTAGAGAATACCTGCCAGGAGGAGAAGGAAGTAGGATCGGGTAGAAGAGCAACTTAAGTTGCAGTAGAGAGTGCTCTGGGGAGGGTTTTCCTGACACAATATGATAAATTAGGATGAAATAGCAAGGCCTTCATACCCCTACTGGGCTCAGTCCTCAGATATAGGGACCTCAGGTAAAGTATTTTCTATGGGTGCTATAGCTGAAGTGATAGGCGGAGGATTTCTGTTCCACACTTCCTGCAGCTAATTAGCAAGTCCTTCCTGGAAGCAGGATCTGGGCAGCACATCTCTGTATCTACCACAATGTTTAACTTGTTTGCAAATACTGGCCCTACCTCCAAAATATATATAGCTCTGACCATTCCTTATCACTCTCCCATTATCCAGGCAAATCTCATCTCTCATATGGACTACTGAAAGAGTATTCTAATTGATCTTCCAACTTTATGTATCCTCTCAATCTATTTTTCACAAAGAAGCCCGAATAATCCTTTGAAAATATAAGTCGAATCTTGTCACTCATTTGCTTAAATCCTTCAATGGCTTCCTGCCGCAGAGTAAAATACAAACATCTTACAATTGTCTCCCACACCACTATTACTCCTATGACCTTATCTTCTATCACTTTTTTCCTCCTACACATAGCTCCAAACTGGTCTTCTTATTTGTCCAATAAGCCAAATATATTGTTGCCTCAGAACCTTTACATGTACTGATCTCTCTAATTAGAATACTGTTCTTTTGTCTGTGTGGCCCACTCTCTCTTGTTCAGGTGTCTGCTCAATTTTTCCTTATCACAGAGGTTCTGTCCAACCATCGTATTTAAACTAGCACCCCTTACCTGCACCAGTCACTGTCTGTCCCTTACTCTGCTTTACTTTCTTTTTAGCACATATTAACTTGGCATGCTATACCCACCACTTGGGCAAAAATCTGACACTCAAAAACTTTTGTGGAATGGCTGAATAAATAAATCCCAGGACTTCCCTTTGCTGCCTTCTTGAATCTCCCTTTTGGGGTTTCCTCCACCATTTTGCTGGAAAACATCCTCCTAAACTTCTTCATTTCAAGGAGAATATATGGGAGGTAAGCTTTTTTAGAATATATGGGAGGTAAGCTTTTTTTATATGACTAGAAATTAATGATGCTTGGCTCTTATCTATGAGTGGTGATTTTTGTCTGGTCTTCAATGTAGGCTCATTAAGTGTTTAGTTAAACTTTTCACTGGGGTCTTCAAATTGTATTTGGAGACAAAAATCTGGCAAAATTATTGCTTCCAATAACATGGAAGACAGAAAATGCACCTAATGCATTCATGACATTCAGTGAGGAGACTTTTGAGGCAGAATTTTGAAGTAAGCTGTCTGTTATCAGCTACAATAGATAAGGTACTATAAGAAACATGTCCAAAAATAAGGAGATGGATATGCAATTGGAATTGAAATACAGAACTTCAGACATGAAGGACTGGAAAATTTTTTAAAAATATGATCATTAAATGGAGCCTTAGGATAAAGACCAAATCAAGGGGATTGTCATTAACATGGCCTCAAAGAAAAGACCAAAGTATATGTAGTCATATACTCCTTTTAATGATTTCTTAAGGGATTAAGAGGGTACCTTTAGGCTGAACCAAAGGGCACCTAGTGACTAGAAAATGAAAAGCTTGATATGCTTAAGATATACATGTCCAGAAGTGTTGAAATGGGCCAGGGATTCTAAGCATGTGGCTAGTTGAACTGTTACTAATAAGGGAGTAACTAAGGCAAACCAAGTGATTTAGGGCCTAAGAAATAGTGGGGCTGAAAACTTGCTAAGGTGTCTGAGGAAGATGTATCTGATACTATAACCAAAGATGGGATATCTACTGGCGCAATAGCTATAAAAATTCAGTAGCATAACACTAGGCAATCTTTGTTCACACATCTGGAATCAGGTGGTATCACCTACATGGCTTTGCTGATCTGGGTGTAGTTGTTTACATATCTGGGGGTTGGTTGGCTATCAGTCAATCTAGACAGGATTCAGTGAAGATAACTTAGGGTATACTAGGCTCTGCTCCATGGGTGTCTCTCATCCTCCGGCAGGCTAATCCAGTCATACATATTCTTATGTCAAGAGTAGAAACACAAGAATAAGTAGAAATACACTAGATCTTTGAAAATGCGTATGACCCAGAATGAGGGGGTACTTACAAAGGAACCATGAGCATAGGGAAGAGTAAAGAGAATTCGGGCCATATTTGTCGTCTATCATCCCAAAGAAAAATAAGAGAAGTAAAGTCAATTCATGGTTCTATAAAGTATTATCTTCTTTTGAGAAGAACCTGGCCTTAGTTGTAAATTAGGTTCCCATGATGTATGTGGGTCATCTTTCTTATGCCAGCAAGGAGAGAGGGGCAGATGAGTGCTAGGATTTTCTTTTCTTTTCTTTTTTTTCCCTTCTCCCTATTAACTGTTATGTTTAGTTGGTTTGTAAAGCTATTTAAGTGGTGATGGATTTTGGCTCAGGGAAGTCCAAATTTAGTCCTGAGAAATTCAACTTTGGCCCTGCTAAAATCAATTCAAGTCTTCCTCTATTCACAGGGCCAAGTTCTAAACATGAAGAAATTTTATTTCTGTTCTTGTAAAATAACTTCTAAATAAGCAAGCCAGTTAGTTTATTTGGCTAAGACTATAAGGCGAATAATGTTCAAACCTTATATAATCCACATTCCCTTTTATAAGTAGCATAACATAATGGTGACCTCACTAAACTAAGTCAAAGCAGAAGTCTCAGATTGTAGAACAAGTTCTGCCACCAACTAGTTGTATGACCTATCGGCAATTTACTTAATCCCTTTAGTCTCAGTTGCCACATGTATATAATGAGGAATTGTTCTAAATTATAATATTCTAAATGTTCTATTGCCACAGGATGTTAATAGGTATTACATATTCAAGTAAGTTTGAGTCATACTAGTTAAATAAAGTTCAAAATGTTTTATTTCGGAGCTTTTCAGAACCTTTAATATCCTGTGCCTTTTGAATGCTCATGAAGGAAACATAATGTGCAGCGAAGTAAATTCACCAATAATTTTTTTTTTTTTCCATAAAACATGGTATGTCCCACCATATATACTTTGGGAAATATACTATTATTTCTACCACTCAGAGGTGAATTTATCAGTAAAATTCCTAAAAAGAAACAGAAGGTAACTTCAAATGGGGACATCCGAAAAGAGTGTAATAAAATAATTATAGTTTAGGGAAGTTAAGAAGGGGTAATGAGCTACCCTGGAGCTGGTGACAACTGTAAGCTATGACTACTCCTGAGTGAAAAGGGGTAAAAAGGAAGGAGCAGGGATCCAAACCTTGAGAGGTAACTGAGATAACTGCCTGGGAAAGGAGATCCATCCTGTTGGGATGGGATGCCTGATAGGATGGCATTTAGTAGAGGGACACAGCCAATCCTTGGTGACTTGGCAGGAAAGGAGTCAGGGAAACATATCATTTCCCTCTCAATCTCTAATCTCTCACTGGTACTTCCTATTTGTTGGATCCGAACAAAAGCCAGAGGGCAAGGGAACCTACCTCATGGAGCAGAGAGCAGAATAGAAAAGAGTGGAGGGGCAAACAGAGCTATCAGCACACTAGGGTTCCATCCACAAGCAGCTAGGTAGGTGATTAAATAATGTTAACAGGACTCAGTCTCTCTTTTTCTCTTTCCACTCTGCTTTCTTTGCTAGCTGTTTTTACCTAGCAGTATAGGTGGCTGCCAGCAGCTCTAGGTTTCAATAATTTTTAGTTCACAATTCCAAATAAAATAATAAAAAAGTATAGTTCTTACTATTCCAGGCACTGTTGGAAGCTCCTTAGATACATTAACTCAGTTAATCCTAAACTAATCATATAAGATAGCTACTGTATTACTCACATTTTTAAAAAATGTAAGAAATTGATATATGGTAGGTACATAGAAAAGAAAAGCTGAGATTTAGATTCAGGGAGTCTAGCAACAGAGTCCGTGCTTTTAACAACTGTACCACACAGCCTTTTGAAAAAATAAACTGATTTCCTACAGCATCCATATCACTTATCAAAAAGGAATCTGGTACTCTTGGGTCATGTGCTTATTTCTGGGTTAGTCACTGAGTTCTGGGGGTGTTGGGGGTACTTAAACTATGTTATATGTCCACCCCTAATGCAAGACCACATGATTGTTAGCAATTACTCCCTATAAAAGATGCTAGACAGATGTAAAAAAGCAACAAATGTCCATCAAGACGTGTGGACTTAAAGAAATAACCCCAGAACTTTAATTCTAATTCTGCCTATGTTTGCCACTAACCTCAAGCAAATCACCCATCACCTCTTTTAGCAAGCAGATTCTAGCCCATCTACCTCCAAAGGTGGTGGTGACTATAAGTGAAATGATATGAAAATCTTAAATATCTACTTATGCCTAATTACATATGCTATATCTAATTACATAGATATAACACATTCAAACACAGTAATGAAACAGATATGCCAAAACTGAGCAAACAACTTGCAAAATAAGTTCTTCAGTCAATAATATCTCTGAAGAATTCCCTTAGATACAATTTCTTTCCTTTTAAAAAATATTTGGTAAAATAAATGAAACTGGAATTTTTCCAAGTGGTCTTATAGACATTATAAATGATTATTTCCTAAGAAAAAACAAAGTACAACTGTAAGTTTATTAATTCTAGCAAAATTAAAAAAGATGTGGCTTGTTAACAACTACTGAATAAGTTTTCTTGTTTCTTTGTCTCCAGAGCATTTGGCATTCTTTATCAACTGGTACATAAAAGAATAGAAAAATAAAAGATTGTCATATTGTCCTTTGTATTTCTCTTTTAGTATATCAGTATGGTAGTCTACTAGAAAGTAGTAAATGGCTTCAATTGTGGAAAGGAAAGTATCCGGTTTTCCTTTTTGATGTCGCCAAAAGCAAGTTTTTCTTGTTTTCAATTCAACTTGTAACAATCCTGCCAAAAAAAAAAAAAAAAAAAAAAGGAAAAATATAAATATTTCTTTCTAGCCACAGAGTGTAGTACAGTAATAATGATTCATCTTAAATATTTTAAGTGTTTTTTAAGAATACAGATAAATTCCTGCAATACCAATTCAAAACAGGGTATTTTCTTAAATGTATTGAGGTATATACAAGAAGCAACCTAAGACAGAATAAAATCTTATACATGACAGTTACATCTAAGTTTTAGACCAATGGATTAAAAGTAGTTAACATTTAAGATATTGATTTCTTTCTATCTATCAGCTTCTTTTAAAATTTGAACCTCTGACAGGACTAAATTCACCAGTTTTCAGAAGGGTTTCAGTTCCTTGGTACATCAACTTTTTAAATATTCTAAAAGTTACTGAGAGAGACAGGCTGCTTATTGGTTTTTAAAATTGGTAAAAGTTTACTTCTATATTATCATTTTTAGGCTGTATTCACATCTAGAGTTGTTTTGGGAGGGGCCACTTTATGCTGCAGAGCCTCAATGATACAGTCAGCTAGAATGTCTTGCTTTTGTATATTTAAGGAGGAAATGATTCACAAAAGCAGAGAGCAGTACTCTCATCTGTTACAATTCAGACATCATCATACACACCTAGATAGACTTGCTCCTTAGAACAGAACTTACACTCACACTACATATAGTTGCCACTTTGTTTTGCACATTTTATTTTAAAGTACAAAAAGTAAGAAGGTAGCATCATAATTGGTCCCTTGACCAGTTAGGAACCTCTAAGTCACAATGAGTACTGACTGTTACATCTCACTTTTACTCAGAAATGTAGAAGACAGCGACAAATATATAATAAAGAAATATTAAGCTATTAAGAGATATGTGGGATCAAAAGTCTAATAGGGGTATGAGGAGGAGAAAAAAGAGAATGAAAAAGAGAGAGCATTTAAAGAGATAGTGCCTATGACTATTCCAGAAATTATTTCAAATTATGAAAATGCACAGATACATGAAACATATTGTATCTCAAGCAGGATAAATAAAAAGAAATCAGTGTCCAGGTCCATCACATAGTAGTATAACTGCAAAATACCAAGGGTAAAGAGAAGATTTTAAAAACAATCATTGAGAAGGGACAAATTACATACAAAGGAAAAGGAATAAGAATGCAAGAGATTTTTCATTATCAACAACAGAATATTGAAGACAATGAAATTATATCTTCAAAGTGTCTAAAGAAAATAACTGGCAACCTAAAATTGTGTACCTAGCAGATTAAGATATCAAGAAAAAAGTGAAAAACATTAACATATACACACACAAAAACCCCAAACTGAGTATATGCCATCAAGAGATCAAATTACATAAATTCCTAAAGGACATATTTCATCAAAGATGGCATGAGATAAAACACTGAACAAAGAAAATGGCAAACATCTGTGCAAATCCAGATAAATCTTGCCTGTATAGAACAAATAATAATATCTAATTTGTGGGACAGACCAAAAATAATGAATACCAAAAATAATACTGTGAACCAGGAGGCTGAATGACACTTAAGTGTACTAAGTCTGTCTGTAAAAAAGGAGAGGTTAGAATATTGGTTGGCTTTGAACTTTTTTTTTTTAATCAATATTTTTTATTATGATATTGTGGGGTACAGTTAAGGGTTAGGTATACAAATATGCTTCTGAACTTTTTTTTTTTTTGAGTTGGAGTCTCACTCCGTTGCACAGGCTGGAGTGCAGTGGCACACTCACAGCCACCCCAGTGTCGACCTGCTGGGCTCTGGTGATCTTTCTGGCTCAGCCTTCCAAGTAGCTGGAACTACAGGAGCACACTACCACCCCTGGCTAATTTTTGATTTATTGTAGAGATAAGATCTTGTCAAGTCACCCAGGCTGGTCTCGAACCCGCGGGCACAGGCAATCCACTGGACTTGGCCTCCCAAAGTGCTGGGATTACAGGTTGAGCCACCGAACTTGGCTGACTTTGAACTTTTTAAGTGACATATGCACAATCCTCTGTAAAAATGGGCTAAGAAAATACTCATTTAATTAAAGAAAAGTCAGAAAAAGAAAAAAAAAAGTAAAAAGGTGAAAAAACCTCCATGACAAATAGAAATAAAAATTAAGATGATAGAAGTAGGTTCAAATTTATCAATGCTCACAGCAAATATAAATTTAAAAGACAGAAACTCAAGAAAGATGACTTCTACAGGGCTTTCATTCAATATTTCATTGGAGATCTTAGCTAATATAGTAATTAAGAACAATAAGTTAATTAGATGCATAGAGCTGGAAAGAAAGAAATACCGCTGACATTAATTACACAGAAAGTAAAAAAATATATATAAGCAAATTATTAGAAATACAGTATCTTGGGGTAAAGAAAGATTCAGACAAGACACAAAAAGTGCTAAACATATCAATACATTCTACATTAAGAATATTTTTCCTCAAAAGCTACCATTAGGAAATTAAAAAGATGAACTGCAAACTGCAAGAAGATATTTCAAAACATTATCTGTATCCTAGAATATATAAGAATTCCTAGAAATCAATAAGAAAAGATAAACAAAACACCAGAAAAATGGGCATAGGTATTTCATAGAATAGGACATTTGTACGGTCAAATAAACAAAATCACACTCAATCCAATTAATAAATACAGGAAAGCAAATTAAAGCCACAATACTTTATACATACTAGATTGGCAAAAGTCAGACATTTGAAAACACCGAGGTAGAAGGGTGTATGGTTTAATGGAACTTTATATTTTAGTGATGGGAGTATAATTTTGTATACCTACTTTGGAAAACAATTTGGCATTTTCTTATAAAGGTGAACATTCTCATATCCAACAACTCAGCAATTCAACTCCTATGTAGGTTTCTTAGAGAAGTTTGCACTTGCACAAAAATGTGTGTGGTAGCATTATTTGTAATAGCAAAAACTACAGATAATTCAAGTGTTTCATCAACAGGAAACTACATAAACTGTAGTATATTCACACAGTCAGATGATATATGGCAGTGAAAATGAATAAACTAGATACAATGATACAACAATATAGATAAACTTAAGAAACAAAATGGTAACTTTAGAAAGCAAGTATCACATCTGAACATTTATCATAATATAATAAGAAAAGGATAGGCAGTAGTAGGGGGTGGGTGGGGGGGAATGACGTAACATCAATAATGGTACCTAAACCAGGTGAAGTGAGGACCAATGGGAGGTCCAAACTTCACCTGTACATAGACCACTTATGTACCTAATCCTGACTTGTACCCATATTTTTAAAATATAAATAAATAAATAAATAAATAAATAAAGTACCTTCCTGGACAATAACATACAGGTCAAAACAAAGTAAACCTAAATAATACATAGTTATAAAAGAGATGTACACATAACCCTATACTCCAAAAAAGTACAAAAATAAAACATAAATAATTCAGGAGAATAATTGTTGGGGATAGAAGGGAACTAGCATAGAGAAAGCAAACACAGATAGATGAAAGTTATTGATACTGTTCTGGTGCTTGAGTTCTTAACTATTCATTATATCATAATGCTCTAAGACAATACTATATATATTATTTCACATGTATCATAAATTTATTTTCGAATGTAATAAAATAAAAAAATGCAAAAATACTATTTGCCTATTTAGTGGCAGAATTGGGACTGGAAGTCAGGTCCCAGCCCAGTTCTTTCCATTAGACATGAAGCACAATCTAGTCATGGAGCAATCATGAACTGTAGTGGATCCTGAAGCAAACAGGTTAAAGAAATTAGATCCCAGAGTTTCTTGGTGGCATTTTGAAGTTTTTATCAGTATACCCATATTCAAGTGGAGATAACAGAAGCCAAAATAAAAGGATTGTGTGCTTATGGGACAATTGTGGAATAAGCATCAATCCTACTTAAAAAGGGCTATCTTGAAGACAATCCTTTGAAATTTTGACTCCATCTTTAAAGAAATATGACCTTGATAGACAGTGGAAGAAATCATGATGTGTGAAATTCTCGGAATAAGAATGTAATGATTTTTTTAAAAAATAATTTTTGTTTAATGTTCTACATACATAATTAAAAAACTCTCTACACTGCTTGTAGAAAAAAAAAATTTTAATGATGCCACAGCATCTACAGATAAAAGATCAAATTCCCAAACATGACACTCAAAGGCATGCATAATTTGAATTTTTCCAGTCTCTTCTACCATCCTCATATATGTATGCATTCTAGATTATATTAAACTATTTCAAGTTTTTGAAAGCAATTTTTTTATGTACATGCCATTTTCTTGGTCATAAATATCCATCCCTCACCTCTTTATCCATCAAGAGTTTAATAGACAGCAACTCCACTGAGAAACTTTCCAGAGACTCCAGGCAGTCTCCTCAATGTTGTCACTACTTGAATTTTCTTATCTGTTAACTTGCTTCCTAAAATAGAGCATGTGGCAGAATACATCCATTGTTTCTCAATATCCATTTTCTCTTCCCATGTTAAAATCTCATTTCTATTCAGTATGGTATGTATCCAACTCAAAACAATTTTCCAGACTTTCCTTACAGCCAGGATGGTCACGTGAACCAGTTCTGGTCAAAGAAAGGAAAACTGAAAACTACAGGTGATACCTATAGAAAAGCTTTTAATTTTTTTTTTTTAATAAAAAAATGCATACTGCCTTTTCCCCTTCAATAAAATAATGCATATTGTCTTGCCTGGAATACATATATGATGCCTCAGGGACCAGCAGCTATCCCTATAAGCATAGGATGAAAGTAAAGTGGAAGAGAAAAAGTCTAGGTCTTTAATGGCATTGTGAAGTCCCTGTACCAGTCCTAGACTACCCACCGCTGGATTTTTATATGTGAAAAGTGAACCTTCTACTTGTTTAAAAGATTCTAGCTGGGTTTCTGTTTTACACAGCTGAACACATGCCTAACCTATAGTGCTTATGATTAATAAGAAGACAGATTGTGCTTATTTTTCTTT